ATATATTTTATATTAAACTATAAACATATTTTTACTTATCTAATACTAAGAAAATAAAATATTAATGATAATTTCATATAAAATTCAAAATTTGATGAAAAAATTATTTGAGTGTAGATAATTTAAATAAAATAATAAAATTAATGTTTCAACAAAAATATGTGCTTTAAAAAAAGAAACATAATGCCAAAATATCCTTTAATTTGGAATATTACACTTCAATTTATAATAACCTCATGAATATTTTTTACAAAAATTTTTAATAATTTTTAAATAATTTATTTTTTTAATATAAAAAATAATTAAGCAAAATGCATTTTCATTTTCTCTTTTGGTAAGTAATTTAGAGTGAATTTAAATGAAAATTATTCATTTTATTATATTTTATCATTTCCTAAATTAATTAAAAAGTAATTTTCATAAAAAGTTTAAATGCAATCAAGCTAAAACTATTAGAAATAATTAATCCATACAAAACCTATTTATTTAATAAAAATTTTATTAATTTTAATTTTGAAAAATATTGAATTTATTGAGTTAATTAAATCTCCATAATAGATAATAAAATTTATTTTTTTTGCTTTATTCTTAATTTAATTAATTGAAAAAATAATAAGAAAGCAAATCACCTTATTTCTATAAAATTATGAATTTAATTAATAAATAATATCCTAAATGATAAAAATTACCATTAAAGATATAAAAAACCATAAAATTTTATAGAAAGTTTATTTTATTCGAATTTATTTGATTGATCAAATCAAAAGTATGAATTTAATATAATAAGTTCGAATATAAATTAAAAATTATATTTTATGAATCTTATGTTCATTATAGTTCATTAGCTTACAATAGAGTGTTTTAAAAGATAAATTAAGTCTTTAAGAATTTAAATTATACTCTTACTTTCTTATCTAAAGAAATAAGTATATCATAATTGAAACATCCATTCCTATGTAAAAAAAATGTGTTCATACAGAATAAAATAAATTCAAAAATTCAACAGTAAAATTTAAGTATCAATATCTTAATTTCTAAAAATTTGAATGATATGTATTATATAACAAAAAATATTATCTATTAAATTAATATCAGTAATTGCAAAATGTTACTTTGAGTAAATTAGTTAAAAATTGTTTAAATTTATTATAATTTTATTTCTTAAATGCAACTACTAATTATTTCTGACAAAATACTTTCTTCTTGAAATAGAATTTTATAGTCAATTCTAAAATGATGTAATATTGATCTGGTAAATTGAATCTAATTATCTACTAAAAGCTTCTAAATTTAAAATCTAAAAATAATATTATTTTTATTATCAATTTATGTTTTCAATTATATTTATCAATTCTAACTTAATGCATGTTTTTAAATATTTGAGGTTTATTCAATTTATTAACTGGGGGGGGGTTATATGAGATTTTGTTTTAATTTTTAGATGGGATTACTTTATAAAATTTGATGAAAAAATTATTAAAATGTAAATAATTTAAATAAAATATCCTAAGACTAATGTTTAAACAAATAAATATGTTTTTAATAAAAGAAAAATATATCAAAAAATCCTTTAATTTGAAACATTAATAGTTCAATATTTAATAACCTAATTAACACTTTTTGCAAATATTTTTAAAAATTCTTAAAGAAGTATTTATCTTATACAAATTTATAAGTAAAATAAGAAAGCAAAATATTTTTTCCTGTTCTATACAATTAAATAATTTTTAAGTGAAAACTGTTATATACATATATTTTATTAATTCCCAAAAAATAAATTTATAAATGTTACATAAATTTCATAAAAACTTTCTAAATCTCATCTAATATAAGCTGTTAAAAATGAATTAATTTATAATAAATCTATTTAAAACGTATTTAGAAAATTAATTTTACTTTTAAAAAATAGTGAATTTTTTGTAGTAATTAAATCTTCGTAATATAGAAAAAAATTTACTTTTTTAACTTTTATTCTTAATTTCTTTAATTGAAAACATCTTCTGAAAACAAATTACTTTTTTTCTAAAAAATTTAAAACAAAGTGCTTTTTTAATGGTTTATCGGAACATAAAATAAATTAATAAATGCCATTTTAATTTTAAACTATCCTAAATGATAAAAGTTATTTAAAATAATTTATTAAAATGAAAAGATATCTCTAAGTATTAATGGTTACTATCAAAATGTAATAATTGCTTTATTATATCTATATATAAAACAAGTAGAGATATCAAAAATAATTAATTCTTATACAATTTTTATTAATTTATGTCTATTGATTGATTAAAACAATGAATTTAATTTTATAAATTCTAATTTTAATCAAAAATTATATTTCGTGGCTCTGATTATTATTTCAGGTCCTTAACTTATTGTTGATTATTTTTTGCATGAATTTAAGTAATTAGGAATTTATATTATATCCTAATTTCCATATCTAAGGATAAATAAGTATATCACAATTTAAACACCTTTTACATAAAAAAAATATTTTCATACATAAAGAAAATAGAGTTTAAAATTTAGTAGTAAAATTTAATCACCAATATTTAGTTTTCTAAAAATTAGTATGATATGTATTATAAAATAAAAAATATTACTTACTAAATTAACATCAATAATTGCAAAATGTTACAATCTATTATTATGCTTGAGTTTTTAATTTAAAAATTATTTATTATTTTTAATATATAATTTCATAACTAATTACTAATTAATTCTGACTATATTATTTCTAACTTGAAATCGAATTTTGTAGTGAATTATAAAATGACGACAAATTTACTAGATTAATTTTTACTAATCGTCTTCTAAAATTTACTTGATTTAAAATCTAAAAATAATATTATTTTATTATCTATCAATTCTTTCATTTCTATTTATCACCTCTAATTTAACCCATATTTTTAAATATTTGAGGTTTATAATTAAATGGTTTTATTAATGTGTGCAGATTAATTTTATTACTAAAATTATATTTTTCAATAAATAATATTACAATTTAAGATAAACAATAAAAAAGTTGGTTAAATTTTTCTTTCTTAATAAAAATTTTTTTTTTGGCTTAAAAAAAAATTCTCTATTCTAAATTGAAACTCACCTTGCTTTAAAAACTTAGACATTTAAACTCAAAACATTAAAAAAAATAAAATAAAATCCAAAAAAAAAAAACTAAAAATTTAAGTAAAGTATGAATAGATTGATCCTTTTGAGTATTATCATGCTCATGCCTCTCTGTTTGGCTCAAGATATAAGTGTAGAAAAACTCCTTGCCTATAATAAATGGTCAAGCTAACATCAAAGAGTTTATCTGAATGAACATGAAAAACTATTTAGATAAATGGTTTTCTTTGAGAACTTGTAAAAGGTTAAGGAGCATAACAGTAATCCTAATAACACCTATTCTATCGGTTTAAACTTATTCTCAGATATGACTAAACAAGAATTTGCTGAAAAAATTCTTATGAAATAGGATTTGGTTGACCATTATATGAAAAGTATCAGTTAAAAGGAAACTCATAATGATGTTAATATCGAAACTTAATTGAATTCAAAAAACCTTACTTTAGCTACTTCAATAGACTGGAGAACATAAGGTGCTGTAACGTCAGTTAAATACTAAGGTAACTGTGGTTCGTGCTGGAGTTTCGCTGGAGCTGCCTTAATGGAATCATTTAACTTCATTTAAAACAAAGTTTTAGTTGATTTTTCTGAGCAATAACTTGTTGATTGTGTCATATCTGCAAATGGTTACTAGTCTGAAGGATGTAACGGAGGGTTTTCTTTTGAAACTCTGGATTATGCCTCTAAAGTAGGTATCACTACCCTAGACAATTATCCCTATGTTGAAGTTTAGAAAAAATGTAATATGACTGGCACAAATAATGGCTTTAAGCCTAAATAGTGGATTTAAGTTCCAAGCACTTCAAATGACTTAAAACATGCTTTGAATTTCTCTCCTGTTTCTGTTTATGTTAATGCTTACAATTGGGTTAGTTATTAGTCTGGAATTTACAACGGAAGTGATTAATCTAATATTGTATTTAATCATGAAGTATTAGCTGTTGGCTATGATGAACAAGGGAACTGGATTGTTAAAAATTCTTGGGGCCCCTTTTGGGGTGAACATGGCTATATGAGACTTGCTCCTAACAACACATGTGGTATCTTAAACCATATTTATTAAGTTACTGCTTGAAAAATTTGGATAAGTTATAAAAATTAAAATTTATTAAAATATATTATTCGTATAAAATATAATATTATATAAAATCGTCATTCAAATGTTAAGGTTCGATTAGCTTTAGAAATTAAAATTTATTTAAATTAACATTAAATTAATAAATATTAAAAAATAAGAATCTATATTTCAAAATAGCTTGACAAAAGATATTAAAGTATAGCAATTTGCTTTTTTAAAAATACTTGATCACAGGTAAAGAATGATCATGTTAATAATTTTTTGTTACAAAAGAAAATTTTCTTTAATATTTATAATAGAATTAAAAATAATTATTATTTATTTAGATTTTAAATAGAGTTTGTATTCAAATAAATTAATAAAAATTACAAGAATTTTTTAGATTGAAAATTCTGGAAAATTACTTAAAATATATTTATAAAATTAATTTTACTTTTCAAAATAGTGAATTTATTGTAGTAATTAAATCTCCATAATATTAGTATAAAATTTATTTTTTTTATCTTAATTTCATTAATTTAAAAAAAACTTTTGAAGGCAAATCACTTTTTCCTATAAAATTTAAAACAAAGTATGGAAAGATTTATCAGTAACATATAGTTAATTAATAAAGACCATTTTAATTTAAAACCATCCTAAATGATAAAAATTATTTATAATAATTTATTTAAATGAAATAGATATCTTCTAATGATGTTTCAATAAATTAAGTTAAACCTTTGCTTAATAGTTTAGAAGGTTAGGTACTTGCTTAATCTGAGTATGATTGTAATTTTATAATTGAATTCAAAAAAGAATTAAAATAATAAATATAACAAATTTTATTCGCCATTTAGAATAATTTTAGGATTATATAAATCTAGCCTGCTTCTTAGATCCTAAATTTAAATTTTTAACACTTTATGATCAAAAAGATTATAATAACAAAAACTACTAATATATTTAATAAAATAGATACTCTTGAAAAAATTATTTTAAATTAGCAGCAGCACTCTTATAAATTAAAATTGAAAGAAATCATATGAATAAATATCTAAAAAATAGAAGCTAAGTGATATAGAACTAGTAGAAGAGTATCTATAAAAATTCTAATTTGATTCTATAGAAAAAATGAGCATCTAAAAAGAGATAGACTTATATGTAAATGATATTAATTAAAATTAATATCTTTTAGAATTCTGGAGAGATAATTAAGATAAATATCCTATTTTATCAAAAATTTCTAGGTTTATTTTTTCTATTCCAACAAGCACAGATTCAGTGAGCGTACATTTTCCAAAATGAGCCTTATCACAAATAAATTAAAAAATAGATCTAATAGTGATCTAATAGGAATGTTGACTGACATACCTGAAAATTAACTTAGATAATAACTTTCTCAAAGAAAACTAACTAATTATATAAAATATATTCAAAATAAAAATTTTGATATTGTATTATATTTTCTATTATTTTATCTATTTTTAATAAAGAATATTCAAAATTACAAAAAATAAAATAGAAATATTTTATTAACAAGAATAATAGATTTTAGAATACTTTAATTCACAAATAAAAATGAATAAATAAATAAATTTAGAATGCTGGGCAAAAAAATTTTTTGTTTAATGGTAACAGTTAAGTAAATTTAATATTCCAATAACAAAAATACATCAAAAATATATTTTATTCTAGTAAGTACGCATTCTCACTATCATTTATTTCCAGTATATAGTTCCTACTATAAATTTAAGTATGCATTTGAAATAAAAATATTAATATTTAATAATGAAGGTTACACTAACTTTTTGTGATTTCTCTAACATAAAGTAAATTTATAAATTCATATAATTTATTTGTTCTTTTTATCTACTTATAATTAAATTAATTTCCTTTAATTGCTATTCAATATTTTTGAAAGAAAAAAAATAAATGATATAATAGATTATATATTATAATGAATTAGAAGAAGTAATTATTTATTTTTTTATCAATATACTTTAAATTTATTTTTACTAATTTTAAAAGTTTTTAAATTCTTAGCATTAATCTCATTAGGTTCTCCATATTGATCTGAAGTATATTTAATTTATAAATATGATTAATATAAATAATATTTTCTACGTATTTAACTTTCAGTTTATTAAAAAGTTTTTTTCTAAAAGAAATTATAGTCTAGATTAGTAAATTTTATTTACTAATGTTTTTTAATTATTTTAACTTATTTTAAATTAAATTTTTTAAATTTATAATCCATTTTTTATTGATTTTTTCCTTCTAAAACTTATACTTGAGAAAAACAGTTTAATTGTTTTAGACTGTGGTATTTTTACTAAAAAAATTCAATTTAAAACAATATAGCACTTTTATTTTATTTTTTTATATTTTACTTTATTTACTTTTCTTTTTTTATTGTAATTGTTTGTGTTTTTTTTTATCTTTCTTAATTTAATTCATTTTTTTATTTTCAATAATTATTTTGTTATTTTTAATTAATTTCTTATTATTTCATATTATTTTTTTATTTTTCCTTCAAATAACTAGTTAATTATATAATTTTTCTTCAATATTAAAAAGATTTAAGAAAATTGATGATTAAGGTGTATCAGGCTTATGTTCTGCTTAAGCAAACTGCTCTAATCTATCAAATTTTACACTATCTATTTGGTAAAAACAGTTTATTTGTTTTCGATTGTGATATTGCTATTTATAAAAATGAATTTAAAAAATAAAATTTTTTTAATTATTTATTAGTTTTTCATTTGATTTACTTTTCTTTTCCTTTTTTATTTAAATTGTGTTTTCTTTTCTGTTATCTTTCTTTATTAAACTCATTTTTTTATTTTCAAAAAAAAAATTTATTATTTTTTATTTAATTTCTTATTATTTCATATTATTTCTTCATTTTTTCCTTCTAATAACTAGTTAATTATTATATTTTTTCATCAATATTAAAAAGTAAGAACAAAATTGGTGGTAGAATAGAATAGAAATACTCGCACATATAAATGCACTCAGAATACAACTTAAAATAAAAATTTTTTTTTTTATTTATTATATTTATATGTATTTTTGTTTGTTTTTTTTTTGTATTTATTAGGTCTTTAAATATATTATTTTTGATTTTTCTATGAAAAAAAAAGAAAAAAAAAAAAAAAATGTTTACCTCCGGTAAACATTATCCCGGAACTCCCCACCCACCTTAGTGCTTACATGTAGAGATATCAAAAACCATTAATTTTTATACAAAGTTTATTTAATTTGTGGCTTTTGATTGATCAAAACCATAAATTTAATTAATAAATTCAAATATAAATCAAAAATTATATTTCATAACTCTGGTAATTATTTCAGATCATTAACTTTTTTTGAGTGATTTTGTACATAAATTTAAGTAATTAGGAATTTATATTTTTTCCTATTTCCATATCTATGGGAAATAAGTATATCATAATTTAAACAACTTTTTCAATGTAAAAAAAATATTTTCATACAAAACAAAATAGTTTAAAATTTAGCAGTAAAATTTAATCTCCAATATTTTGTTTTCTAAAAATTTGTTTGATATATTATAAAAAATAAAAAATATTATTTACAAATTAGCATCAATAATTGCAAAATTTTACAATCTATTATATTTTTTGAATATACAGTAAAAAATTATTTATTCTAATCAAAATTTTATTTCATATCTTTTATTACTAATTAATTCTGATTATATTACTTCTAACTTGAAACAGAATTTTATAGTTAATTTTAAAATTACAACACATTTATCTGATAAGTTTTATCTAATCATCTTTTAAAACTATCTTGATTTTAAATCTAAAAATAATATTATTTTATTATCTATTAATTCTTTCAATTATATTTATCACCTCTAATTTAACCCATATTTTTAAATATTTGAGGCTTATAATTAAATGATTGTATTAATGTATGCAGATTAATTTTATTACTAAAATTGTATCTTTCAATAAATAAAATTAAAATTTAAGTTAAACAGTAAATTAGCTAACTAAACTTTTCTTAATAAATTAAAAAATTAGTTTTTGCTTATAAAAAATTCACTATTCCTAATTAAAATTCGCCACGCTTTATAGACTTAGACATTTTTACTAAAAACATTAAAGAATAAAAAAATAAAATACAAAAAAAAACTTCTTGCTTATAATAAATGCTCAAGTTAACATCAAAGAATTTATCTGAATGAACATGAAAACTATTTAGATAAATGGTTTTCTTTGAGAACTTGTAAAAGATTAAGGAACATAACAGTAATCTTAATAACACCTATTCTACCCATTTAAACTAATTCTGAGATATGACTAAAGTAGAATTTACTGAAAAAATTCTTATGAAATAAGATTTGGTTGACCATTTAATGAATGGAATCAGTTAAGAGGCAACTCATAATGATGTTAATAATGAAAATTAACTGAATTCAAAAAGCCTTACTTTAGCTGCTTCAATAGACTGGAGAGAAAAAGGTCCTGTAACATCAATTGTGGTTCATGCTAGTTTCTCTGCAGCTGGCTTAATGGAGCCATTTAACTATGCTTTGCTATATATATATTTGTAAAACATGAAGAGATATCAAATTCATTAATTTTTATACAACGTTCATGTAATTTGTGGCTATTTGATTAATCAAAGTCATGAATTTAATTTAATAAATTTGAATTTTAATCAATAATTTTATTTGTGGCTATGGTTCTTATTTCAGATCATTAACTATAGTTGAATGTTTATCCATTAATTTAAGTAATTAGGAATTTATACTTTATGCTAACTCCTTTATCTAAGAAGAAATAAGTATCTCATAATTTGGACATCTTTTTACATGTAAAAAAAATATTTTCATACATAAAGAAAACAGAATCTAAAATTACAAATAAAATTTCATCTCCAATATATAGTTTTCTAAAAATTAGTATGATATGTATTATAAAATAAAAATATTACTTATTAAATTAATATCAATAATTGTAAAATGTTACTATTTATTATTTAGTTTGAGTTTTTAGGTTAAAAATTGCTTATTCTTATCAAAATTTTATTTCATAATTAAATAACTAATTAATCTTGACAATATTATTTCTAACTTCAAATAGAATTTTATAGTTAATTCTAAAATGATAACACATTGATCTAATAAATTATATCTAATCATCTTTTAAAATTTTTTTGATTTAAAATCTAAAAATAATATTATTTTATTCTTTATCATTTCTTTCAATATTGTTTATGACCTTTAATTTAATCCATATTTTTAAATATTTGAGACTTATAATTAAATTGTTTTATTAACGTATGCAGATTAATTTTATTACTAAAATTATATTTTCCAATAAATAGAATTGCCAGATATGACTAAAGAAGAATTTACTGAAAAAATTGATATGAAATAGGATTTGGTTGACCATTTAATGATTAGAGTTAGTTAAGAGGCAACTCATAATAATGTAAATAGAGAAGCTTAACTGAATTCAAAAGCCCCACTTTAGCTGCTTCAATAGACTGGAGAACAAAAGGTGCTGTAACATCAGTTAAGAATTAAGGTAATTGTGGTTCATGCTGGAGTTTCTCTGCAGCTGGCTTAATGGAGTCATTTAACTTCATTTAAAACAAAGCTTTAGTTGATTTTTCTGAGTAATAACTCCTTGATTGTGTCATCCCTGCAAACGGTTACAATATTCATGGATGTGAAGGATGGCCTGCTTACTGTGTAGAATATGCCTCCAAAGTAAGTATCACTACCTTAAAGAACTATCCCTATGTTAGAGTTTAGAATAAGTGTAATGTGACTGGTACAAATAATGGTTTTAAGCCTAAAAAGTGGAATTAAGTTCCTAACACTTCAAATGACTTAAAAAGTGTTTTGAATTTCTCTCCTGTTTCTGTTCTTGTTGATGCTAACAATTGGGATGGTTATTAGTCTGGAATTTTCAACGGGTGCGATTAATCTCTTATTATTCTTAACCATGCTGTATTAGCTGTTGGCTATGACAAACAAGGTAACTGGATTGTTAAAAACTCTTGGGGCCCTTATTGGGGTGAAAATGGTTATATGAGACTTGCTCCTAACAACACCTGCAGTATCCTAAAATATAATATTTAAATTACTGCTTGAAAAATTTGGATAAACTATTATAAATTAAAATTTATGAAAATATAGGGTTGGACAAAATAATTGAACATTAATAAAAGTATCTGAAGGGTATCTCTGATAAATTTTATATTATGATATTTAGATTTATCATCAAAAATTATATATGAATATATACATGATATTAACAAATTCTTACTTACTATTAGATTCCTTAAAAAACAATGAAATTGAAATTTATATTATAAATGTGTTTAAAAAACAAGTCAAAAAAATCCAGTGTCAGACCACACTTTTCTCTTTATATAATGAATGACCTAATTTATACTTTTTGCAAAAATTTTAAATAATTTTTAAATTATTTATTTTGTACAAATTTATAAGTAAAATAATAAAGCAAAATCATTTTTCCTGTTCTAGACAGGTAGTATTTTTATAGTAAATTTAAATGAAAATTCTTCATATAAATATACTTTATTATTTCCCAAGCTAAATCTCAAGATAAAATTATAAGTAATACATAATTTCCATAAAAAATTATTAAATACTATCAAGCATAAGCTGTTAAAAATGAATAAATGAAAACTAAACTTATATAAAATATATTTATAAAATTAATTTTACTTTTGAAAAATAATGAATTTATAATAGTAATTAAATCTCCATAGTATAGAATAATTTACTTTTTTTGTTTTTATTCTTAATTTCATTAATTGAAAAAATCTTCTGAAAACTAATCACTTTTTCCTATAAAATTTAAAACAAAGTATGGAGTAACATAGAGTTAATTAATAAATATCATTTTAATTTTAAACTATCCAAAATGATAAAAGTTATTTATAATAGTCTATTTAAATGAAATAGATATCTTGAAGTATTAATGTCACTAGTGATGTGTAGTAGATGCTTTGTTATATCTATTTATAAAACATGTAGAGATATTAAAAATCATTAATTTTTATCCAAAGTTTATTTAATTTCTGGCTATTTGATATATCAAAACCATGAATTTAATTTAATAAAAATAAGTATAAATCAAAAATTTTACTTCATGGCTTTGGCTTTTATTTCAGACCATTAACTTATATTTGAGTGTTTTTATGTATAAATTTAAGTAATTAAGAATTTATATTATCATAATTTCCCCTTTTAAATGTAAAAAAAATATTTTCATAATTAAAGAAAATAGAGTCTAAAATTCAGAAGTAAAACTTATTCTCCAATATTTTGTTTTCTAAAAATTAGTATTATATGTATTATTAAATAAAACATATTATTTACTAAATTAGCATCATATTTTTGCAAAATGTTACAATCTATTATTTTGTTTGAGTTTTTATGTTGTAAATTGATTATCCTTATCAAAATTTTATTACATAGTTTTTATTACTAAGTAATTCTGATAAAATAATTTCTAACTTGAAATAGAATTTTATAGTGAATTCTGTAATGAGGGTAAATAGATCTGATAAATTTTATCTAATCATCTTTTAAAATTTTTTTGATTTAAATATAAAAAATACACTATTCCAAATTGAAATCCTCCATGCTTTATATAGTTAGCATTTTTACTCAAAACATTAAAGAATAAAAAATAAAAATAAAACTAAAACTTTAAGTAAAATATGAATAAATTTATCCTTTTGAGTATTATCATGCTCATGCCTCTCTGTTTTGCTCAAGATATAAGTGTAGAAAAACTTCTTGCTTATAATAAATGGTCAAGCTAACATCAAAGAGTTTATCTGAATGAACATGAAAAACTATTTAGACAAATGGTTTTCTTTGAGAACATGTAAAAGATTTAGGAACATAACAGTGATCCTAATAACACCTATTCTACCCATTTAAACTAATTCTCAGATATGACTAAAGAAGAATTTGTAGAAAAAATTCTTATGAAATAGGATTTGGTTGACCATTTTATGAAAGGAATCAATTAAGAGACAACTCATAGTGATTCTAATAATAAGGAAACTTAATTGAATTCAAAAAGCCTTACTTTAGCTGATTCAATAGACTGGAGAACAAAAGGTGCTGTAACATCAGTTAAAAATTAAGGTGATTGTGGTTCATGCTGGACTTTCTCTGCAGCTGGCTTAATGGAGTCATTTAACTTCATTAAAAACAATGTTTTAGTTGATTTTTCTGAGTAATAACTGCTTGACTGTGTCTACTTTACAAGGGGTTACAACTCTTATGGATGTTCTGGAGGATGGCCTGATTAATGTCTGAATTATGCCTCCAAAATAGGTATCACTACCCTAGACAAGTATCCCTATGTTGGAGTTATGACCAATTGTAGAGGGAGTGGTACAAATAATGGCTTTAAGCCTAAAAGCTGGATTTAAATTCCTAACACTTCTAATGACTTAAAAAGTGCTTTGAATTTCTCTCCTGTTTCTGTTCTTGTTGATGCTTCCACTTTGGGTATTTATAAATCTGGAATTTTCAACGGATGTGATTAATCTAATATTAGTCTTAATCACGCTGTATTAGCTGTTGGCTATGACTAACAAGGAAACTGGATTATTAAAAATTCTTGGGGCACCTAATGGGGTGAGAATGGCTATATGAGACTTGCTGCTAACAATACATGCGGTATCTTAAGCTATAATTTTTAAATTACTGCTTGAAAAATCTGGATAAGCTATTATAATTCAAATATATTATTCGTATAAACTATTATTTTATATAAAATAGTAATTCAAATATTAAGATTCGATTAGTTTTAAAAATACAAATTTATTTAAATTAACATTAAATTTATAAATATTAAAAAATAATAATTTATATTTCAAAATAGCTTGACAAAATATATTAAAGTAAGTTTATTTTATAAAAAAAGTTCAACAAAAATTAACTATAAAATTAATTATAGCACTTCCAGGATTATAATTATCGTGTAGCGCTCGGCAAGAATAGTTATCTTGAAATTGCTGAAATAGTTTAATTGTTTTTAAGAATATTAATATTAAAATTAAATATCTAAGCTCTTTTTTATTATTTTTTAAATAAAATTTATAATTTAACACCCAGAATATCACACAAAATTTGTAAAGTGGGTGGGTGTTAATTGATAAGAGCTTACAGTATTTAAGATTTTTATGTTAACATATATTTAGCTAGATAATATTAAGTAAGAACATTTTTAAGTTAATTTCAAATAAAATTCAAAATTCGACAAAAAATTATTAAAATATAAATAATTTAAATAAAATACCATAAGACTAAAGTATAAACATGTAAGTATGTATGCCTTTAATAAAAGAAAAATATATCAAAATATCCTTTAATTTGAATTATTATGATGCGATATATACTGACCTAATTAATACTTTTCTTAAAGAATTTATTTTATTCAAATTTATAAGTAAAATAATAAAGCAAAATCCTTTTTCCTGTTTTACACTAAGTAATTTTATAGTCACTTTAAATGAAAATTCTTCATATAAATATACTTTATTAATTCCCAAGTTAAAGCTAAATATAAAATTATAAGTAATACATAATTTCCATAAAACTTTCTAAATGCAATCAAGCAAAGGTTGTTAAAAATAAATAAATGAATGAATACTAAATTTATTTAAAATATATTTATAAAATTAATTTTACTTTTGAAGAATAATGAATTTACTGTAGTAATAAATTCTCCATAATATAGAATAAAATATATTTTTTTAGTTTTCATTCTGAATTTTATCAATTGAAAAAATCTTCTGGAAGCAAATAACTTTTTTTCTATAAAATTTAAAACAAAATATGGAAAGATTTATCATTAACATAAAATTAGTTAATAAATTTTAAATGAAATAGGTATCTCGAAGTGTTGATGGTTAGTATAGATATGTAATAGATGCTTTGCTATATCTATTTATAAAACATTTAGAGATATCAAAACCATTCATTTTTATACAAAGTTTATTTAATTTGTGGATTTTGATAGATCTAAACCATAAATTTAATTTAATAAATTCAAATATAAATCAATAATTATATTTCATAATTCTCGTAATTATTTCAGATCATTAAATTTTTTTGAGTGTTTTTGTACATAAATCTGAATAATTAGGAATTTATATTTTTTCCTATTTCCATATCTAAGGGAAATAAGTATATCATAATTTAAACAACTTTTTCCGTGTAAAAAAAATATTTTCATACATAAAGAAAATAGAGTTTAAAATTTAGCAGTAAAATTTAATCTCCGATATTTTATTTTCTAAAAATTATATAGTTTGATATATTTTATAAAATAAAAAATATTATTTACAAATTAGCATCAATAATTGCAAAATGTTACAATCTATTTTATTCTTTGAGTAGACAGTAAAAAATTATTTATTCAAATCAAAATTTTATTTCATATCTTTTATTACTAATTAATTCTGATTATATAACTTCTAACTTGAAATAGAATTTTATAGTTAATTTTAAAATTACAACACATTTATCTGATAAGTTTTATCTAATCATCTTTTAAAACTATCTTGATTTTAAATCTAAAAATAATATTATTTTATTATCTATTAATTCTTTCAATTATATTTATCACCTCTAATTTAACCCATATTTTTAAATATTTGAGGCTTATAATTAAATGATTGTATTAATGTATGCAGATTAATTTTATTACTAAAATTGTATCTTTCAATAAATAAAATTATAATTTAAGATAAACAATAAATTAGCTGGCTAAACTTTTCTTAATAAATTAAAAAATTAGTTTTTGCTTATAAAAATTCACTATTCCTAATTAAAATTCGCCACGCTTAACAGACTTAGACATTTTTACTAAAAACATTAAAGAATAAAAAAATCAAATTGAAAACTATTTAGATATAGCACTTTGCAATTTTAAAAAATAGTCATCGCTATTTATTAGCGATGATTTAAATTTTATTTTCTGATATATTTTGATGTATTAAATGAAAAATAGTATGTCATCAAAATATTTATAAATTTTGCGGAAAGCCAACTTATATTATATTTATTATATAAAGGGGTTTCCAAGTCGCTGAAATGACCTATATATAGGTAAGTAATTTTATAGTAAATTTAAATGAGAATTCTTCATTAATATATTTTATTAATTTCTAAAAATAAAATTATAAATAATACATAATTTCATAAAAACTTTCAAAATAAACCAATGTTAAAAATGAATTAACGAATGAATACTAAACCTATTTAAAATATATTTATAAAATTAATTTTATTTTTTAAAAATAGTGAATTTATTGTGTTAATTAAATCTCTATGATATATGATAGAGAATAAAATTTATTTTTTTAGCTTTTATTCTTAGTTTCATTTATTGAAAAAATATTCTAAAAGTAAATCACTTTTTTTCTATAAAATTTAAAACAAAATGTTTAAAGGTTATAATTAGTTAATAAATGCCATTTTAATTTTAAATTATCCTAAATGATAAAAATTATTTAAAAAAGCTTATTTAAATGAAATAGATATGTCTAAGTATTAATGGTTACTATTAAAATGTAATGATTCTTTGTTATATGTATTTGTAAAACATGTAGAGATATCAAAAATCATTAATTTTTATACAATTTTTATGTAATTTTTCGCTATTTGATTGATGAAAATCATGAATTTAATTTAATAAATTTGAATTTTAACCAAAAATTTTATTTGTGGCTATGGTTCATATTTCAGATCATTAACTTTAGTTGAATGTTTTTCCATGAATTTAAGTAATTAGAAATTTATATTATATCCTAACTCCCTTATGTAAGAAGAAATAAGTATATCACAATTTAAACATCTTTTTACATATAAGAAAAATATTTTAAATTAGTTAATAAATACCCTTTTAATTTTAAACTATCCTAAATGATAAAATTATTTAAAATAGCTTATTTAAATGAAATAGATATGTCTAAGTATTAATTGTTACTATTAAAATGTAATAGATGCTTTGTTATATATATTTTTAAAACATGTAGAGATATCAAAATCATTAATTTTTATACAATTTTTATGTAATTTGTGGCTATTTGATTGATCAAAGTCATGAATTTAATTTAATAAATTTGAATTTTAATCAAAAATTTTATTTGTGGCTATGGTTCTTATTTTCAGATCATTAACTATAGTTGAGTGTTTTTCCATTAATTTAAGTAATTAGAATTTATACTATATGCTAACTCCTTTATCTAAGAAAGAATAAGTATCTCATAATTTGGACATATTTTTACATGTAAAAAAAATATTTTCATACATAAAGAAAACAAAGTCTAAAATTACAAATAAAATTTAATCTCCAATATATAGTTTTCTAAAAATTAGATTGATATGTATTATAAAGTAAACATATTACTTACTAAATTAACATTAATAATTGTAAAATGTTACAATTTATTATTTATTTAATTTGAGTTTTTAGGTTAAAAATTGTTTATTCTTATCAAAATTTTATTTCATAACTAAAATAACTAATTAATTTTGACAATATTATTTCTAACTTCAAATAGAATTTTATAGTTAATTCTAAAATAATGACACTTTGATCTAATAAATTATATCCAATCATCTTTTAAAATTTTTTTGATTTAAAATCTAAAAATAATATTATTTTATTCTTTATCATTTCTTTCAATACTGTTTATGACCTTTTATTTAATCCATATTTTTAAATATTTGAGGCTTATAATTAAATGGTTTTATTAGCTTATGCAGATTAATTTTATTACTAAAATTATATTTTCCAATAAAGAGAATTGTGATTTAAGAAAAGTAAGAAAAATTAGTTTAGGCTTATTAAAAATTCACTATTCCAAATTGTAACTCCTATGCTTTATATACTTAGTCACTTTTACTTAAAAAATTAAAGAATAAATATAAAATACAAAAAAATAAAATAAAACTAAAACTTTAAATAAAGTATGAATAGATTGATCCTTTTGAGTATTATCATGCTCATGCCTCTCTGTTTGGCTCAAGATATAAATGTAGAAAAACTCCTTGCTTATAATAAATGGTCAAGCTAATACCAAAGAGTTTATCTGAATGAACATGAAAAACTATTTAGATAAATGATTTTCTTTGAGAAATTGTAAAAGATGAAGGAACATAACAGTAATCCTAATAACACCTATTCTATCCATTTAAACTAATTCTCAGATATGACTAAAGAAGAATTTACTCAAAAAATTCTTATGAAATAGGATTTGGTTGGCCATTTAACGAAAGGAGCTAGTTAAGAGGCAACTCATAATGATGTAAATAGCGAAGCTTAACTGAATTCAAAAAGCCCCACTTTAGCTGCTTCAATAGACTGGAGAACAAAAGGTGCTGTAACATCGGTTAAGAATTAAGGTAATTGTGGTTCATGCTGGAGTTTCTCTGCAGCTGGCTTAATGGAGTCATTTAACTTCATTAAAAACAAAGCTTTAGTTGATTTTTCTGAGTAATAACTCCTTGATTGTGTCATCGCTGCAAATGGTTACAATATTCATGGATGTGATGGAGGATGGCCTGCTTACTGTGTAGACTATGCTTCCAAAGTAGGTATCACTACCTTAAAGAACTATCCCTATGTTGGAGTTTAGAATAAGTGTAATGTGACTGGCACAAATAATGGTTTTAAGCCTAAATAGTGGAATTAAGTTCCTAACACTTCGAATGACTTAAAAATGGCTTTGAATTTCTCTCCTGTTTCTGTTCTTGTTGATGCTAACAATTGGGATGGTTATTAGTCTGGAATTTTCAACGGGTGCGATTAATCTCTTATTATTCTTAACCATGCTGTATTAGCTGTTGGTTATGACAAGCAAGATAACTGGATTGTTAAAAATTCTTGGGGCCCTTATTGGGGTGAAAATGGTTATATGAGACTTGCTCCTAACAACACCTGCGGTATCCTAAAATATAATATTTAAATTACTGCTTGAAAAATTTGGATAAGCTATTATAATTAAAATTTATGAAAATATATTATTCGTAAAAATTAATATTATATTAAAGTAAATATTAAAATTCAATTATCTTTAAAAATTGAAATTTATTTAAATTAACATTAAATTAATAAATATTAAAAAAATTAATTTATATTTAAAAATAGCTTGGCAAAATATTGCTAATCCTGTAATTAAAATATCACCAACTGTGTAGTTATGTACAGATGGTGATATTTCATTCAATTTTTATGATTATAAGCTAATTTTACTCTTTATATTTTTTAATTTTTTTTATCAACCTGTTTTTATTAAATTTTAAATAATTTTTTACATTGCAAAATTATTTAATATAAGCTTATATTCAAAATTTGATGAAAAAATGATTTGAATGTAAATAATTTAAATAAAATTAATTTATAATAAACAAATAAATATGTTTTTAAAAAAAGAAACATAATACCAAAATATCCTTTAATTTAGAATATTATAATATTATACTTCAATTTATAATAACCTATTTTTTGCAAAAATTTTAAATAATTTTTAAAGAATTTATTAAAAACAGTTTTATAAGTTTTATAAATAATTAAGCAAAATCTATTTTCGTCTTCTCTGTAAGTAAGTTATTTTATAGTGAATTTAAATGAAAGTTATTCATATAAATTTATTTTATTAGTTCCCAAATAAAATAAAACAGAATTTTCATAAAAAATTTATGAGTGCAATCAAGCATAAACTGTAAAATATGAATTAATGCATACTAAACCTATTTAAAATATATTTATTAAATTAATTTTACTTTAGAAAAATATTGAATAATTAAATCACCATAATAGGGAATAAAATTTATTTTTTTTAGCTTTTATTCTTAATTTCATTAATTGAAAAAATCATAAGAAAGCAAATTACATTTTCCAAAAAAATTTAAAAGAAAATTTTGAAAGATTTATCAGTAATATGAATTTAATTAATATATAATATCTTAAATGATAAGAATTATTTAAAATGATTTATTTAAAATCTTAAAATATGATTAGATAATATTGAAATATAATAGCTGCTTAATCATGGCTATATATAAAACCAGTATAGATATAAAAAATCATAAAGTTTTATAGAAGGCTTATTTAATTAATTCTATTTAATCAATAGCATGAATTTAATTTAATAGTTTCGAATATAAATCAAAAATTATATTTTATGAATCTCATGCTTATTACAGTTCATTAGCTTATTTATAATAGGGTATTTTTATAGATAAATTAAACAATTAAGAATTTAAATTACACTCTAACTTTCATATCTAAAGAAATAAGTAGGTATATCATAATTTAAACATTTTTTCATATGTAAAAAAAAGTGTTCATACATAATAAAATAAAGTTAAAAATTCAACAGCATAAATTTAAATTTCATATATTGTTTTCTAAAAATTAGTATGATATGTATTATAAAGTAAAAATAATTATTTACTAAATTAATATAAGTAATTGCAAAATGTTACTATCTATTATATTGTTTCAGTAAATAAGTTAAAAATTGCTTAAATTTATTTTTATTTTATTTCTTAAATATAATTACTAATTAATTCTGACAATATGCTTTCTTCTTCAAATAGAATTTTATAGTCAATTCTAAAATGATGCAATATAGATTTGTAAATTGAATCTAATCATCTGTAAAAAGCTTCTAGATTTAAAATCTAAAAATAATATTATTTTTATTATCAATTTATGTTTTCAATTATATTTATCAACTCTAATTTAATGCATATTTTTAAATATTCGAGGTTTATATTCAATGTATTAACTTATGCATGTTTAATAATATTTAATTATGTTTATTAATAATTTATTGTTAATAACTAAATATTTGATTTTTCAGGGTTTAAACAAACTTCTCCATTATACAATAAATATATATATACATATAGTACCCTAATGTACTGCCTTTTTCAAGGCTACATACACGAATAATAACAAAATAGCTTGTAAATAAATCAAAACATTAAATTTCCCTTATAGTAAATCGAAATGGCATTTTACTCTATATAATTAATTTACTTTTGAAAAATAATGAATTTATGGTAGTAATTAATTCAATTATTAGAACAAAATTTATTTTTTTGGCTATTATTCTTAATTTCATTAATTTAAAAAATCTACTTAAAGCAAATCACTTTTTTTCTATAAAATTTAAAACAATGTGTTGAATGATTTATCAGGAACATAAAATTAATTTATAAATGCCATTTTAATTTTAAACTATCCTAATCGATACAAATTATTTAAAATAATTTACTTATATGCAATAGATATCTAGAAGTATTAATGGTTACTTTAGAAATGTATAAATGCTTTATTATATTTATAAATAAAAAAAGTAAAGATATGAAAAATCATTAATTTTTATACAAATTTTGTTAAATTCGTAGCTATTTGATTGTTGAGTGTTTTTAAATATAAATTTAAGTAATTAGGAATTTATATAATACTCTTACTTCCAAATATAAGGAGAAATGAGTATATCGTAATTTATGAGTCTTTTTCCATATAAAAAATATTTTCATACATAAAGAAAATAGAGTCTAAAATTTAGCAGTAAAATTTAATCTCCAATATTTTGTTTTCTAAAAATTAGTATGATATGTATTATAAAATAAAAAATATTACTTAATAACTTAACATCAACAATTCCAAAATGTTATAACCTATTATATTGTTTTATATATATGTTAAAAATTGTTTATTCTTATCAAAATTTTATTTCATAGCTATAATTAGTAATTAATTCTACTTCTTCGAATTTTATACTTAATTCTAAAATTACAAAATATTAATCTGATAAATAATATCTAATCATTTTTAAAATTTTCTTAATTTAAAATCTAAAAATAACATTATTTTATTATCTATCAATTCTTTCAATTATATTTGCCACCTCTAATTTAATTCATACTTTTAAATATTTGAGGCTAATAATTAAATGATTTTATTAAGGTATGAAGATTAATTTTATTACTAAAATTATATTTTTCTATCAATAAAATTACAATTTAGGATAAACAATAAAATAGTTGGTTAAATTTTTCTTACTGAATCAATAAATTAGTTTAGGTTTATAAAAAATTCACTATTTCAAATTGAAGCTATCCATACTTTATATACTTAGACATTTAGACATTTTTACTGAAAACACTAAACAACAAAAAATTTAAATACAAAAAAAAAAAAAACTAAAACTAAAACTTTAAAGTATGAATAAAAAAATGATACTTTTGAGTATTATCGTGCTCATGCCTCTCTGTTTTGCTCAAGATATAAGCATAGAAAAACTCCTTGCTTATAATAAATGGTCAAGCTAACATCAAAGAGTTTATCTAAATGAAGATGAAAAACTATTTAGACAAATGGTTTTCTTTGAGAACTTGTAAAAGATTAAGGAGCATAACAGTAATCCTAACAACACCTATTCTATCCATTTAAACTAATTCTCAGATATGACTAAACAAGAATTTGCTGAAAAAATTCTTATGAAATAGAATATTGTTGACCATTTAATGAAAGGAATCAGTTAAGAGGCAACTCATAATGATACTAATAATAAAGAAACTTAATTGAATTCAAAAAGCCTTATTTTAGCTGATTCAATAGACTGGAGAGAACAAGGTGCTATAACGACTGTTAAGAATTAAGGTAACTGTGGTTCATGCTGGAGTTTCTCTGCAGCTGCCCTAATGGAGTCATTTAACTTCATTTAAAACAATACTTTAGTTGATTTCTCTGAGTAATAACTTGTTGATTGTGTCATCCCTGCAAATGGTTACTATTCTTATGGATGTAGTGGAGGAGCGGCTGTTTATTGTTTGGATTATGCCTCCAAAGTAGGTATCACTACCCTAGACAAATATCCCTATGTTAGAATTTAGAAAAACTGTAATGTGACTGGCACAAATAATGGCTATAAGCCTAAATAGTGGATTAAAGTTCCTAACACTTCAAATGACTTAAAAAGTGCTTTGAATTTCTCTCCTGTTTCTGTTGTTGTTGATGCTACAAATTGGGATAATTATGAGTCTGGAATTTTCAATGGATGTGATTAATCTAATATTAGTCTTAATCATGCTGTATTAGCTATTGGTTATGACTAACAAGGAAACTGGATTATAAAAAATTCTTGGAGCCATTATTGGGGTGAAAATGGTTTTATGAGACTTGCTGCTAACAACACATGCGGTATCTTAAGCAATAATCTTTAAATTACTGCTTGAAAAATATAGATAAGCTATTATAATTAAAATATATTATTCGTATAAACTATTATTTTATATAAAATAGTCATTCAAATATTAAGATTCGATTAGTTTTAAAAATAAAAATTTTATTTAAATTAACATTCAAAATTTAATTCTATTTTTAGTTTTGACATAAAAAACATAAAATAAAAATTTTATTTTAAATTAAAAAAATAAACAAATAATGAATTTAAAAATAAATTATTAATAAAATGATAGATTTCATAATTTATTTATATTTAAATTAATTAATGTATAATTAAATAAAACAAGAAAAGGAAAAAGAACATAAAATTAATTGTCATCAAATTTATGTAACTAAATTTTAAGTATTTTTAATTTAAAATTCGAAGAATGTACTAACAATTAGCGAGGTAAATATTATTAAAAATTTTAAATAAATAAGCATTTCTATTTTTAAATATTGCTTATATTACAATACATTTAAAATTTTTATGTTAAATTACATTTACCTATATGTATTAAGATAAGAAAATTTTATGTGAATTTCAAATAAAATTCAAAATTCTTGATGAAAAAATTATTAAAATGTAAATAATTTAAATAAGATATCAAAAGACTAAAGTATAAACATATAATTGCGCTTTTAATAAAAGAAAAATATATCAAAATATCCTTTCATTTGAAATACTATAATGCGATGTATAATGAATGACCTAATTTATACTTTTTGCAAAAA